CGTGGCTTCACAAACAAAGGCTGTCATCACCCTCCCCCCGGGTCACTGGGCCCAAGGTGTCCTAGAGTTTGCCCCTAACACAGCTCCACCCAGTCTGAGGTCAGCTAGGCCAGACAGGTGCCTGTCTTACCTGTTTACCTGGGGACCTCTGAAGGCACACTCGCACACACTCACACAAACACACACATGCACAGACACACACCCGCTCTCAGACTCCTTCTTTAGCAAAAGAAAACAAAGTCCCCTTCTTACCATGGGCTACAGGAGGGAAGCTTCCGGGCCCCACTGCTGCCCACCCCAGACTCCCAGGCAAGCGAGGTGAGGGGCGGATCCTCATGTTCAGAACAGAGAATGACAACGTGTGCTCACTAGGTCGAGTGGCTTTGGCCAAGTGGCTGCTTCTCTCTGGCCCAGGATGACCTGGTTGTCACAAAGGTCCTCCTCGGGGAGAGTTTAGGACTCAGAGGACTCTCTTGTCAGAGCCTGCCTGCAGCAGCCCCTGCCAAGGCCCCCAGGTCGGGCTTCCTGGGTCCGATTCCTCCTGTCCTTGTTGTTCCCGGGGAACGATTTCTCAGGAATGGAGGGCTCTCCAGATGGTCAGAGAGGAAACGGGAGAAGCAATTCAGAGTTTCACCCACTCCATCTGTTGTGCACCAGCCCCACCAGCCCCAGCCTCCCCAGGAGGGCTTCCCACCACCCCAGCCGCCTCCGGTTCCCGCAGACAGATGCCTTTAAACACCTCCACCGTCCACCCCCGGCCCCTGGGAGCCTTGTTCTCCCAGCTGGACAGCTGTCAGGCCCCTGAGCTGATGGTTCTGTGTCATCATGTGACCCAGGCCAGATGGTACCTGTCAACATCAGCTGCCACGGTACCATGACGAGCTGCAGCCTCACACATGTCCCCGTGCGTCAGAGGTGGGTGCACCAGTCCCCACCCCTGCTGCCCTACCATCCTTCTGGACCCCACACCCACATCCCTGCCGTCAGCACCCCTCCCACCTGTGTCCCCAGCCCTCCTCCCCCAGAGGGAGGCCCTCCTGTGTTCTCACTGCACGAGGTGAAGGCCCACAGAATATTCTCAGCACCTGGCAGGCGGTGGGAGCTGCAGAAAGGTTAATCATCATCTCCGCATACCTAGAAAGCTCCCTGAAATATCTGTGGGAGAGGGAGGGAGCGCTCAGCAGCAGCTACGAGAGTCACCCGCCGGAAGGGGTGACGCCGATAAACACTCCAAGCCTGTTACTGGGTAAAGGGACAGGCAGGCAGCTGCCAGCAGGGCCTGGCAGAGGGTGGCCTTAGGGACGGGGTGCCAGGGCCGCCCGGTCAGGCTGTGCAGATTGATCACCCACCAGTGATCAGGGAGGTCTGCTCCCGGAGACAGAGGGGCCCATCCAGGGCCACACAGCAGACAAGGGACAGACCTTATGACATCAGCAGTAGCTTGGTCTAGCTCCCATCCCATTTAGGCCTGTTCCCTCTGCTCCTGCTATAAAATAACTGTCCTGTCAGTACTCTGCGTGTAGCATCTGGTGTCACCCTCAAGGCAGGGGCTGCTCTGAGCCCAGAAGCTCAGAATGGTTAAGTGACCAACTGGAGGTTGCATTGCTGGTTGTAGAACCTACCCTCAGGTTGTGAAGCCCTGGGGTTTGAACCCTGGCTGACTCCAGAGCCCAGGCCTGGGACACCAGACGCTGCCACCCACCTGGTCCTGGAGAGGAGAGCTCCCTGGTGGGGGGCCAGGCTGCAGGCTCAAACCTCGGAGGGCCAAAGGGTCCAGGCCACTGAGGAAGGAAGCCACAGTGCACACCCCTCACCGGGCTCCTTTCTCAGAGCTGTCCCCAAGGGGCTGGCTGCTTGTCACTCATCTCTGAGCCATCACACTGCCCCCTCATAGGGCCTGCTGAGAAGCAGGAGCTCTCCTACACTCCCCTGAGGGCACAGGGCAAGAGGGTGACAGGGCCAAACCCACGCAGCCAGCCAGTCCCTGTCTGGGGCTCAGTAGCCTGGAGAGCCGGGGGAGGCAGAGGACGCCTCAGCACCGCCTTGGGGCCTGTAGGGGCCCAGGTTGGAATGTGAAGTCCCTCAGGCCACCCACAGGTAGCGGGCTGGAGTTGGTCAGAGGTGGGCAGGTGCCATGTGAGGGAGACCAGGAGGGCACGGTGCAGAGAAGAGGCACACCCTGGGCACAGAAGGGGTCCTGCAGGGCCACAGCAGAGGCAGCTGGGCAAGGGCACACAGCAGGGTTCCGCTGCCAGCTGCAGAGGTGCAGGGAGCCCGGCTGACTGACCCCTTGGTCAGGGCGGGTGATGGTCAGAAGCCCACACGGGACACCTCCGCTGGCAGGCCGGGTGGTGCCTTCCTCCGGGGAACGTTCACTAATTCCAAAGGTGCCAGGCGCTGTCCTGGGCCATGGAGTCTCAGCTGTGAACAGGACGGACACTGTATGTCCCCTGTTGAGCTTCCTCATCGGAAGCGGGGTACAGAGAGGATCCCTAACGTGGTCTTCAAGGCTTCCTGGAACTGGAGCCACCTGCCTTCCCTGTGGGAGCACCCACTTCTAGGCTCACTGTCCCCTGTCCCTGCCGTGCCTGGGGCTCATCCCCTCCACTGTCCTCACCTGCAGGCCCCACCTCCAGGGACAGCCCCACCCCCCTGGAGCCCTCCCCTCCTCCATGAGGAACCGCCCGAGTAACTCCAGGCTCCGTGGTCCCAGCAGAGGCCAGGGCAACTTGGAGGTGACCGAGGCCCTACCAGATGCTGCCACTCTGGCCAGCCGGCCCCATGCCACCTCCTCATGTCTGCCTCTGAGATGGGGAGGTCCACACCCGAACCAGGCAGGGGCTCCAGGACTGCCGTCTTGGCCCCTCCTGGACCCTCTTCCTGGCACCCCATGTCCTGGGCCACCCGTCCTCACACAGCCCCTTGGCCTGGGCCTAGGATCAGATAAAGCCAGAAGGCAGGCCACATTCCCCTGCTCTGGGTGGAGGACCATAGGACAGGGTGGGGCTGGGGACGTGTAACCAGGCTCCGGTGTCCCCGACACCATATCCCCTGTTGGCCAGGTAGAAGTAGGATGAGCAGGAAACTCGAGCTGAGAGAGGACCTCCCCGGAAAGGAGAATCGGAAAGCACGTGGGGTGGGGTGGGGTGGGGTGGGGTGGGAGGGTGGCGTGTATGTCGTGTCTCCTCTGCATGCGCTTCTGGTTTTTGTGTGCCCTTGTCTGTGCATGCCTTTAGGTCTCTGTGCTCACACACGCCTATGTGAGCGAGCATCTTGGCTCTTTGTGTGACCTCTTATGTCCACATACGTTCGTCCTGGGTGTCTGTGTGTGGTGGCCGCGTCTGTATATTTGTCTGTTGACACATACGTGCCTGTGCATTTGCGGGAGCTGTCCCCAAGGGTCTGTGCCATTTGTATTTGCATTTGTGTGTTCACAGTGGCAGTGTGGACTTGTGAGTGTGTGTCTTTGGGCAGGGAGGGGCTGTGGGATCCCCTCACTCCCACTGCCACTCTGCCATGGCCAAGTCATGGCTGGAGCCCAGCTCAGTCCCAGGGCTGGTGACTCACCCTCAGGGGGTTATGGGCCAGCAGGTCCCCACCCACAGTCTACGGGGCTGTCGCTGGGTCCTGAGTCTGGCTGGGTTTGTAGCCCAGAGACTCTATGTCCTCGAATCCCCTCCTCCAATGCTGGAACCATCTGGGGCCACCCACAGCCCACATGGAGCCCCAGCTAGGCTGCGGACAGCCCCAGGCCTGCCACTCAGAACTGCCCTGGGTACTGCTAGGATCCGGGGCCAGCAGAGCTGCTCCACAAACACCCGCTAAGGAGCCAGCTGGGTGCAGGGACCCTGAGCGCCCCTCTGCACACCAGGCTGAGCAGCAGGGCACAGGGGCAGCCCTGGCCCTGGGCTGGTGTCATATGACCTCAGCAGCTCATGTACCCTCTCTGGATCCAGGCTCTTCATGTACAAAATAAGGGACAGGCAGGACCACAGCATTCGAACTGTATAGTTGTGCACTGCTCAAAGGCCCCTGGTTGAGGGGACAAAAGTGCTGAGAGCCAGCCCAGATCAGGCTTTCAGGTCTGGAGGTGCCAGGCTGCAGCCTGTGGAGGAAGACATGTAAATATCTTCCCACAGACAATGGCTCAGCAGGGCCTCTGCTCAGGTGAGGCGCAYCTCTGGTGAACGCCTTGTTCCCTTTCTCACAAAGGGGCTGCCTTGCTCCGGTCACTTGGTTGAAGGGAAAGAAGCCCCAACCCTTGGGATCAGCACCCTCATCCCGGGCTGGTGTCCAGTGCCCTTTCTTTTCAGACTCGCCTCCGTCTCGGAGACAGATCCTGCCGCTCTCCCTTCCCTGCTACACCCTCTTCGGAAGCCATCCCTTGTGGGACCCAGGAGGGACGTGCAAGCCCTGTCCCAATCTTCACCCCTATTTTGTAGACCGGGTAGCCAAAACCTAGAGAAGGACAGCCACCCGCCTCTCGACTACCCCGCCCTCCTCCACCTCCCTCTCCCGGTCCCCGGGGTCCTGCCGTCCACACTTAACCAGGCACGGTCCCAGGCGGCACAGAATGAAGCACCCCATCTGTTGAATCATGTGACTCACAAGTTCCAACGGAGCCCCTGACTCCAAATCCAGCRCTAGCCCCACCCCACCTCCCGGCTCACCCCTCCCCTTCCAGCCACCCTGACAGTGACCATGACACTTCTCTCCTTCGGTGTTCTTTATTTCATCCGGAAAGTAGCTAGGGAGGCACTGTGGGGGAGGGGTGGGGACGGGGACAGAGGCTTGACTTCTGTCCTGTGGGGTCCGTAAACCTGGGAGCAAAGAGCAGAGGCGAGGCCCTGACCCCTGGGAGGCCCCCCGATCGCCCACCCCCACTCAGGGCTCAGGTCCCCAAAAGGTGGCTTGACCCGGGCTTGGGCGCGGGCTGGCCCCCACTGCCCCCCGGCGCAGGGAGAGGTGCAGGTGGCCCGGGCCTTACCAGAGCCTCTGGCTCAGCTGGACGCCGGGTAGCGGCTGCTGTGAGGTGTGTCTCCGTAGAAGGGGTCAACTGAGGTCAGGGTTCTGCAGAGGAGGACAGTGGGAGACAGGGGCCGTGGGGTCTGGGCCTTCTCTTCTGCGGGCCCCTCCCAGGGAGCCTGAGAGGACGCCAAGCCGGTCAGGGCGGCCAAGCCACAGACACGCGCTGCCTGCCAAGTCGGCCTCTGTTGCGAAAGCGTGGGTTTTGAGGAAYTGAGCAGCAAGGAGTGACGGGAGAGGCAGAGCCTCCGTCCATTCATCTTTGGATGCATCTTCCACTGCCCCTGCCACCAAGGGCCACCCAGGGGCCAGGGCAGCAGCCRTGCTGAGGAGAGACACACTGGACAGAGGAGGAAAGGAGCCCAGGAGGGCAGGAGGACAGAGGCCAGGGGCCAGGATGGAGAGGAACAGACAGACAGACAGAGGCAGGTGTCCAGTGCCCTGGAGCTGGCCTGGAGCTGGCCGGGACGTGAGGAGGGAGAGAACTGGGATGGGGGTGCTACCTTCCCACATGGGGGTGCAGGCGCCTCAGGCTCTCTGTGGGATTGGGAGCGGCCTCCATGCGAGTGACCGGCTGGTTGAGTGCATAGCCTCCCATCTTCTGAGGCTGGATGCTACCTCGAGTCCAGCCTTCCCGGTCCAGACCCTTGGGGATGTTCTCAAAGTACCTACAGAGGAGGGGGCTCTTGTTGGCCTCCCACGGGCCTCTACTCACCTCCATGGCCTCTGCAGGAATCTCAGCCCGCGGATGCCTCAGGCCTCCTTGCCTCTGCCTGTGTCCCCTGCGCCTGGTCACTYGAAGCCCTTGTCCACGTGGAGAACTCTCCCGCAGGAAGCCTGCCCTCCCACCTGCCTCCCCGGCGTCTCCCTGGGGTCCTGCTCTCCTCCCATCGAATCCCATGCTCACCGAGCCCTGAGCCAGGCTCTGAGGGTGTCAAGCCCTGCCCTTGAGCTCAGAAGAGGGGTTACAGATAGGTCAGTGTGGAAGTCAATATTAATGCCAGGTGCACAGGGTGGACCAGTGTGTGCCTGACACCTGGCAGGAGCCCAGGAGCAGGCAGGCGGGTGGACAGGGGAAGGACCAGCCCAAACTGCTGGATCCTTACGAAGGGGACATCCACCTCCCCAAGGGCAGGCACATAGTGGCCCCTGACACCCTGAGTGAGCCTCTGCCCCTCCCCCTGGACTCCTTGGGAACTAGAGCAGCCACTTGCTCCAAATCTGAGCTCAGCGTCTTGTCCCAAGGGGAGGGATCCAGCTCCATCTCTGGTCTCTGGGCAGGGCTTCCCCTCAGCGGGATACCACTCCCTCTGAAGCTGCCCCCTGCCCTCTCTTCTTTTCAACAGGAATGTCACCTTCTCTAGGTCCTCCCCCGGCCCTCCTGACCCTCCTGTCTCCTGCTCACACCCGTAACAAGGACCCTAGGGCCTGGCAGCACTCAGGGCTCCCAGAGAACCTGATGTGAACGGATCTGCGAGGTGTCTGGAGGCAGGAGAGGTGGCTTGAGGAGCAGGGCAGAGGGACAGGGGTCTGGAGAGGGGGAGCCTGAGAAGGGAGGGCGTGGTGGGGCACCTTGGAATACCGAGGTGTTGGGGGGACAGTATGAATATGGATGCCACTTGGGTTTCCCGGCTCAAATATTTTGTCCCCCAGATTACACTTCCTTTATTCCACTCCTGTAAATGCCCTCTGTCTGCAGTGCTGGCCCCGGGAGGCTCCCCCAGGGTGCCAGGGCCACCTCCTCCTGGAAGCCCTCCCTGATGCCTCTCTCCTGCCCAGGGAGCCCTGAGCCCATCCGCCAGGCACTGGAGGCCGTGTCTTAGTAGCTGCTCTTCCTGCTGACCCCTGTCCTGTGCCCACCAGCCACCAGCCTTCCACTGTCTTACTCTGCATCTCTCAGAGAACTACCCTCAGGTTGCTGGAAGCTGCTTCACCTGAACAGAGACATCTAGCCTCTACTATTCCCTGTGACAGCCTGTAGCAGTGACTGCTAGGCGTGGGGTATAAATACCCCCACTCTCTTGCCTTTGGGCTGGGAAAATTCTGAGCTGTGTGCTTTGTGCTGTTTTCCAGAGTTTCCCCATGGGGCAGCTGGCTTTGTAACAGCACCATTACTGGACGCCTGCGCTCCCCTTCCACGTCCCCTTCCCCACCCACCCAGTAAAACCCCTTGCTCTGGGATGCTTGGCTGAGCGTGTCTAGCAGGGCCTGCACTAATTCAGGGCTGCTCTTCTCCCCAAGGCGGTGAGCTCATTGCCAGTCCCAGCCCCAGTCTTCTGGTCTGTCAAATGGGTTTCAGCTTTGGGCTGGGAGGGAGGGGCCTCACCCTTGATTGTAGGTGGTCAGGTACCGGCTATCCCTGTCGGGGTCATAGGAGCTCCGGACATAGGTGGGGTTGTTAAGGCTGAATCCTGTGGGCTCCTGAACAAGAGGGGTGGACAGGGAGCTGTCGGGTCTGGAGGACTGGAGAGGGGGGCCGAGAGGGCGGGCTGGGCGCAGCGGGCCTCACCTTGTTCCCCACGGCCTCGCGGCCCAGCAGGGCAACATTGGTCTGTTGCATCCGCTGTGGGGGCTGGAATGGACGGTGGCTCATGCTGCTGGGTTCCGGGCTGGGAGGGGGCACCTGCAGGGGGCAGGGCCACCAGAAGGCAGGCTGGGGTGGCCAGGCTGTGGCAGCGGGGTGGGAGGGGTGGTGACCGAGGCCCTTTCCCCTCCTGCCCATCTCATTTGCCTTTCGGGAACACACCTCTCCGTCCCAGCCCAGGCGCCCCCCTCCCTCCTCCCCAAGGCCTGTCCTTCCCAGGCCTCTGAGCCTGGCCCCCACCCCAGCTCCTCCGGGAAACCTCCCTGTCACTCACTCTGGGGTTCAGGGTCCTTTCATTTGCTCTGCTGTAGCCTGTCTCCCGCTCAGAGCCTCTGGCCAGCACAGGCAGAAACTCATTTCCCTGGGGAGAGCAGAGCAGYGGTGGGCACCAGAGGGTGGCTGTGACTCCCCACAGTGGTGACTCCCTGGAGCCGCACTAACTGTCCCCACAGGTGTCCCTGACCTCCCTGGGTGCAGCTTACGTGAGGGTGAGTCATGGGGAGGAAGTCCGACTTGGTGACACTCCGGTTTGAGAGGAGGACCTGGAGGGACCCACAGGAGGAGGGTCAGCCCAGCGCAGGGAGCCAGCCCTGTCACCCCCACTCAGCCTCCTCGTCCCCACTGGCTGGACACGCAGCAAGACTCGGCACCAATGGGGGCGGCTGGGATGGCTGAGGAAAGGCCACAGCTTGGTGGGGGGAGGGGGAGGACAGGTCCCTGAATGGGACCCAGCAGGAAGGCTCTTGTCTGAACCTGGCGGTGCCCTGGTGCCTCCCTGGACCTCAGTCTTTCCATCTATGAGGCAGGACCAGAGAGGATTTCACCCAGGCTCCTTCACCTTGTCTGGAACCCAGGGCTGCAGCTGACGGGTTTTTGAAAAACTAGAAACGCCCCAGGGGAGGGGGAGGGCCTCCATCCCCCCGAGACTGCAGCAGAGAACTCACAGGGTCCCCGGGCATGGCCTGGGAAGGAGAAGGAAAGACCATCGGGCTTTTGGCCGTGTCCTCGGTGAAGCCGGTCTCCTCCTTGGCGCCGATTGATTTCTTCTGCAAGAGATCTGGAGAGACAAGTCCCCGTGGGGCCTGGGCGACCGAATCCCAGCAGGGGGAAGTTGAGAAGGGAGGACATGGGGGTCCACGAGCTCCAGGGTCCATCCAGAGAACCAGAGAGGAAGGCCGAAGGAAGGGGCAGTGCTGAGGGCAGCAGCCGGCTCTGGTCAGGCCCAGGACACTGAGGTCAGCCCGGGTCGGGGGACAGTTCCCTCAAGCCACCTACCTATTTGTCCTTCTTTCTTCTGCTGGTGGCTTCTGAGACCTAGGCCAGCACCAGGTCGCCCTCGGTGGTCTCTCTCGGAGGTGGGCGATGGAGGTGGGGGATGGAGGTGGGGGATGGAGGTGGGGGATGGAGGTGGGGGTGGAGGTGGGGGATGGAGGTGGGCTACGGGGCAGACTGGCTCAGACTCGGGCCTACCTGGCTGCATGGACGGCTCCTTGAGGTACTTGGAATTGTACTCAGAAGTCATGAAGCGTGGGCCCTGGAACACAGGGTGGAGCATTGGGGGACACAAGGCAGACCAGGGCACAGTGGCTTTGGGTGGCAGTGGCACTAGCTTTTGGGTGGTGTGTGCTCCCGTGGGGCTGGGAGGGGGCGCGTGAATAGCTCAGGGGCCATGACTCTTTCCCTGACAGTGCACCAAGGTGTCCGAGGTCTTCCCCGTTCCAGCCATCTCTAAGTCCCACACCACCCTCAACTTCAGGAAATGAGCCTCCAGGGACCCTGAGGCAGGAAGGCGGCGAAGGGAGGAGCGAGGCTGAGGGCTCAGGGCACCGTGGGGCCGGGGAGAGGAGGGGGCCGGGATCGTCACTGTGATGCTGTGTTGGAAATGTCCAGTCACAAATCCTTTGTCTCTCGGGGCCTGAGCCCACAGGTGACCAACGTGGGGCCAGCTCCATGGTGACCAGAGCAGCACTCCTCTCCCAGCCCCGCAGCCCAGGCAGGGCCGTCCACTCAGTCCACTCACATATCGAGAGTTCTCCCAATCCGGGGAGCCCCTGCCCTGCTGCTGGTGGAGCAGGGGGACCTCCTTGGGCTCCAGCCCGGTGATAGCCTGGGCTCCATGATCCTGGGTGTCAAAATGGACCTTCCTGACCTGGAGGAGGGGACACCAGTGAGCTTCCCGGGCAGGTGAGGGGCGGGCCATCACTTCCTGACCCTGATTCTGCCCCGACACCTGCAGAGTTCCTGCTGGCAGCCAGAAAGACCCCTCATAACGTCCTCCCCTCAGAGCCTGCAGCGTTGCTATCACACTCACTGAGCCCCACGTCCTGACAGCAGCCCGCAGGGCCTTTGCACCTGCTGTTGTCACTGCCTGGAATGCTTCCCTCAGATGGCTGCAACTGGAGAAGCACCAGCCTCCCTCAAGTCTTTCCAGTGTCTATGACCCASCTGTCCCAAGTCCTTCCCTCCTGCTTTCTCCCTTTTCCCCTGCTGGCTGCCCCCTGCTCTCATCACCTTCAAATAGAAAAAAAGATGCTCAGGGCTGGGGGTGGGGCTCAGGGTTAGAGCCTGGCCTAGCACCATGGAGGCCCTGCGCTCCATCCCCAGCAGCACGCACACGCACACACACGCACACGCACACGTGCAATAGCCATGATCAGGGTAGATTGGTTGGTAGACAAATGGATAAGTGCTCAGGTGCTAGGTGGTCATGGTGGTGACATGAGCGATGATAAAGTGACTTTGGACACAAACAATCTGGGGTGTTAAGGACAATGGTGGACCCTGAGGGTGGTGGCGGGGGYTTGGACAGGTGGAGGGGAGGCTGGTGATGATCAGGACAGAGGTAGGGCTGGTGACAGCATCCCCACAGGATGGAAGGAGGGAAGTGGAGGGATGAGGTCTCGTCAGTGCTGTCCCTGCCTTCCGGAAGGACCCCCCTCCCAGCCTCCTGAGCCTGTGGGCCTCTCCGCTCAGAGCTCTGCCGCCTCCTGGCCTTGGCCGGGCACTGACCTCCTTAGTGAGGAGGCCTGCGTTGGGCTTCTCACGCCCGTAGGCAGAGGTCGTCTGGTACATGTTCCAGGGTAGTGGTTGCGTGCCATCAGGCACCTCCAGGGGACAGTAACTCTGACTGGTCACGGACTGGAAGTTGCTCCGGGCTTGTTCCCTGGCAGGGGACACAAGCAGTAGCTAGGCCCCCCAAGGCCCCCTGCTTGGGTTCTTTGGAGGCTGAGTTGCTGATGCCCAGAAGCTTCTCACCTCCCTCAGCCCTCTCCCAGGCACCCTAGAAACATGCTGGCCTTGGGACCCACGCTGGGCACCAGGCCTTGGCCTGGCAAGGCTGAGTTCCCGTCCTGGGAGGCCCGAGTGGTTCGATTTGCTCTGACATTCCCAAGAGCTAAGTCCAGCCGGGCAGGAGTGGGAGAGGGAGTGGAGCCGACGTACCCCATGGCGGGGCTGTCCAGGGTATCCAGGTGGGGCTGGTAGGAGACCACAGGCCGGTAGTTTGATTTGTAGCCAGTGCCTACGTGGCTGCCCATCCGGGGCTTAAATTCCTCCCGACCTGGCGAGGTGGATGAGAGAGACGGGACTGTGGGTCAGCAGAGTGGGGGAGGAGGAGGGGGCAGGGCTTCTAGGCAGGATCAGTAGAGCATCCCCCAGGAGCCCAGGGTCACTGTGACAGGGGAAGCCCCAGTGTGACCGAAGCTGGCCCTTCAGGTCTGCGAGAACAGCAGATGGGGTGGGGCCAGGTCAGGGCGGCAGAATCACACTGTCAGAACGACCAGGAAGGGTCCTCGGAGGGTTCAGGGGAGGGATGGATTCAGGATAGAGGGTGGCTGCAGTGTGACTCGCCCAYGGGCCGTTCCTCTCTTTGAGGACCCCTGCCTTCCCCGCCACTGTCCTGGAGGGCCTCCTGCACTCACCATAGGCTGTGCAGTAACTGGTGGCGTAGAACTTCAGGGGGTCCGTGCAGCCCCCCGAGCTCATCTTCACATAAGGAGACACAACCCCCAAAGGGAGTTTTCCCATCATGATGCTGTAGGGCAGGGCCCCTGAGGGCCTAGGAAGGGACACAGGAGCCCCTTGTCAGTCCCCAGTCCAGACCAGGAAGACAGTCAAGCCCCCAGAGCTGGCCCCTTCTCCCAGGCCTCAACTTCCCTCTGACACCCACACCCCAAATGGAGAAAGAGCAGAGCTCATCGGCTCTTGTTCCCTGCTTCATCTTCCCAACACCTAATGATTAACTCTTCCTATTCCCATCTTACAAGCCGGGAAACCCGTTCTAAGTAATGAAGGATTTGGCCATAATCGGTGGCTGAGCCAGGTTTCAGACCTGGGCTTGTGACTCCAGGCCCCTGAAGTCATCCCTCAAGTGCGGGAATCCTGGGCCACCCCAGCTCCGACACTCACCGCCAGGCCCACCTACCTCCTTGGCTCCCCTTCAGCTCCCTGGCCTTGCCCACCATCCACTGGAAGTTGGCCCTGCTCTCCTGGGGTGAGCAGTCGTGGGCCCCACCCTCACCTGCCCTTCACAGTGGTTCTGAGGTCCACAGAGGCCACAGGAGGCAGGAGCCGCTGCAGAGAGGCTGGGCCCTCCTGGAGTTGGCCAAGCCAGGAGTAACAGAGGGTTTCCTAGCAACCGGTGCCTGGCAACAGTGTTCCCACGCCTCTGAAGCCCTTCTAGGGCCAGGGCCCACTGAGGGGCTGACTTGGCCAGGAGGAGAAGGCCAGGAGCTGAGCAGAGCTCAGGGCCCCACCTCCAGCCTGCTGCACAAGGCCGGGATGAGTTGCTGTCTGAGTGACAAGAACGAAAAGATAATCCCCAACAATCACTCCCATTATTGAGTGCCCACTTCTGGCCAGACACTTTACATCCGTTATCTCCATCCTCCATGCTCTTCTAGGGCTGTTATTACCCTGTTTTCACAGGGGGAACACGAGGCTTAGACGCGAAGAGCAGCTTGACGGGCCGGAGATCTCACAATCAGAAAATAATGCGGTTGAGAATCAGGTGTAGGTGGATCTGGATCCCACTCCTTATGCTTCTCAGTAAATTAATGTTTACTATGTTCTGCTGGAAGCCAAGTCTGGGCTAAGCCCTTTGATACACATTACCTCGTGCAGTCCCCCAAACCAGCCTGTGAACTGGGTACTTACCGTAAGGCCCACAAACCACAGCAGCCGTTTAAAAGTGTGGTTCAAACCCGATCTGTCAACTTTGATGAGGCGCTTATTATCCTCCTGACGCCCCCACTTCCCCGTCTTAACCAAGAATGTGACTGTACCCACTTCCCCCGAGCTGTTGGCAGATTAATGAGCACATGGATTCAGCACCTGGCTGAGGTGAATGGAGGTAATAACAACCTTCCTGCCCACCGGGGTTCAAACAGAGCGTTTCACCAGCTCCATGGCTCCATGGCTCGTGACGGCCCTCGCCTCAAGTTGGCATGCAGGCTTACAAATGTTGTCACAATTAGATCTCTGGGAGGGGAGGAGAAGGCGCTGATTTGTAACATTTGCTGATAACTTCTGGGGTGTAAATACTTCCACTGTGGCTACTTTCAAACCACTAATGTGATGTCATTGAACCAGGGCTTGCAAAGCGGTCTCAACACCGTACAGTATTTGTGCCTTACAGATCCAACAGACGTGAGCAACCTTGAAGGCACAAATATTAAAAAAATGTGCTGACATAATTAGGAAGCCAGGAGTCTTAAGTATGCCTTACCTTTATTTTTAGTATAATTCATTATATTGTAACTTCAATCTCTATCAATGGAGTATTGGTGCAGGTTGTGCCTCAGTTTCCCATTCTGGAGAATGAGAGTAATAATGGTATCCACCTTCAGTTTGTAGCACTAATGAAGCACCTAGCCGGGCGCAGTGGCAAACACCTGTAATCCCAGGGCTCAGGAGGCTGAGGCAGGAGGATCAAGAGTTCAAAGCCAGCCTCAGCAACAGCGAGGCCCTAAGCAACTCAGTGAGACCTTGTCTCAAAATAAGATATAAAATAGGGCTGGGGATGTGGCTCCATGGTCGAGTGCCCCTGAGTTCAATCCCCTGTACGCCCTCCTCAGCCACAAGATGAAGTATCTGGYCCAGCACCTGCACATGGTGAGGGCCATCTAAGAATTAGGGACAGGCCCTAGGAGGAAGCAGTCCCAGGGCTCCCTGCCTGCAAGGCAGAGTTGGGCCCAGGGGTTACAGACAGGGACCTGCCATCAGGGAACTCACAGGCTAAGGGGATCCCAGACACAGTGTCCGACTCCAAAGGCTGAGCTCAAAACCTGCTTGTGCTGCAGGGGTCTTTTTTGTCTCTGGGCTTAACAGAGCTTAACAAGCCTACTTGGCAGGGTCACTGGCGGATTTGAAATGCCCTAGGCATAGAGTCCGGCAGTAGGAGACATGCACAGGTGGAGAGCAGGGAAAGCCAGCAAGGTGCACAGTGGGGGACCCTGTGCTGGGAGGTGACTGGTCCTATGAGGCTGGAGGATGGAGAGGCTGGCTCCGCAGGGAGAAGCAGCCACACGGAGGCTGCGGCCATGTCTCGTTTTAGCAGGGCCGAAAGAGCAGACAATAAATTTTCCTTAGGGCGTCTTGGGCTGCTGGAGCTGACCAAGGGCTTGGGCAGGGGTTCAAGGAGGGGGCTGCCAGCTGGGTCTGCGCTCTGCTGCGGTCCGGCAGCGGCCGGTAGTCCCCGCGGCCTGTGGTTTTTAGCTGTGTGGCGACACCTAGCGACCATAATTGGGAACTGCAGGCTATGCCGCAGGTGTAGCCCTGATAAGGCGGGGGTGGGGCTCGGGGCGGGGCTCCAGGAGGGGGCGGGGCGGCTGATGGCCCGGGTCGCAGCGCTCAGCCCCACTCAACTCGCGAAGCAGAAGGGGCAGGGCTGGAGCCCCCGGGGAGCAGGAGCCTCGGGGCTGCCCACCTGGACAGGTCCTAGCAGTAACCAAGTTGCTGGGTGATTTGGGGGCTTCTCACCTGTGGGCCTGGGTTCTGTCTGTACAGTGAAGGTACAGACTACCAACAATCCTTCCAGATCTGAGTGTAAGTTGGGAAATCGGGGCCCACCGCATGTCACTGCCTTCCCATAACTGTCCCCATTTATGAAACTCTTCCTCTGTGTCAAATGTTCGGCTTTTCACTACGAGATTATTGTGATTACGACCTCCTTACCTGTGGGGAAACAGCCTGAGGCCTCGCAGGTGGGAAGGAGTGGAGCTGGGTCCACACCTAACTTCCACTCGGGGAATTTGTGCCGGGCCTGCGGGGACAGGCTGGCAAGCTCTCTGCAAAGTGCAGGGACAGCCGCAGAGAGCTCTAACGCCGCTTGGTCCAGCTCAGTGATTTTCCAAAGAGATGGGCTCCGCTGGCCAGACAGACCAGCTCCTTCCCTTTTCCCGTGTAAGAAGATGGGCTAACACCCCTCTGAAGCCTGGGGTCAAAGCTTAGGGACCCAGTAACGGGACATCTTGGGCACTCAGGCTCATAGACCTCCTTAGCTGGGACAAATGGGGTCAGGCCCTCCAAGGCCAGAATGTACCACCCCGAGTCCTGAACTGACACCGATGTCTATGCTCTGGACTCTGAGCTGTGTGGGCTGCGGGCCCCTAAGGACAGGAGCTGGAGCAGATGAGAGATCACCCCCCAAGCGCATGTTGTTTTGCTTTGGCTGATGTTTATCTTTATGGCCATCTCAGAGGGCAGAACTGGGGCTCTCATCCAAAAGAGATAGGTCAGCTTAATGGAGGGAAAAGCTTCCTAACACACCAAACCCAGAATAGGCTGCCCTTGGGGAAGTGAGTTCCCTGTCCCAAGAGGCGTTCAGTGAAGCATCACAGGCTGTCGGTAACAGCAGGCTCTCTCAGGCTTACTGGGTGCCAGGCACTGTCCAAGCACTTCCCACACTTAAATCTCTACACTCCCATGTGGTGGGGAGAACCAGCATCTCCATCTTACGGATGAAGGAACTAAGACACAGAGAGACTGTGTGACTTGTCCAGGACGGCACAGCTAGTAAGAGGAGGGGCCGCTATTTGAACCAGGCATCCTGGCTCCAAAGGCCATGTTGCTGACCACTTTGATGTGGCTTCACAAGTTAAGCCGAAGGTTCTCCTAGCTGTTTTCAAAATTTGACCTTCGATGACAGTTTTTTTAAATCCTTAAAAAAATAAACCTCCTCCTTCCTGTGATCTCTCCCGTTCCTAGCTCCTTGATCTGTACCAGTCACTGCTGGGCCAAAAATCCATAGAAGAAAAGATTTGAAATCCTCCACATCGGCTGAGATGATTGAGAATGGGAAGCGGGCCCTGGATGCAGCTGGAGAGTGGGGACCAGGAGGCTGGTGGCGAGGGGCCTTCATTATACTCAGGCTTTTGAGATTGGAGCAAGCACAAAGAGAATTTTTTTACTGGCTTCAGGTGCACACCCCCCCCCCCCGGAAAGGAGGGAATGGGGGGATGAGGTGGGGATTGGATAGGATCAGGTCTTGACCCAGAAACAGCCTAGATGCTCATGTGCTGGGCGAGCTGATGTCATCTTTCTGAGCCTCTTCTAGAACTTTGGTTTGAGGTCTAGCTCTGGCACAGATAGTGCTGTAGGACCTGTCTTTTTCTTTCTTTTTTAAAGACTTTATTCTCTAGCATTTCTGTTTAATTTAAAGACTTTTAGGGGTTTTTTTAGTTGTTGATGGACCTTTAACTTTTATTTATTTATATGTGGTGCTGAAAATCGAACTCAGTGGCTCACACATGCTATGCTACCACTGAGCCACAACCCCAGCCCCTGTGTGACCTTTCTTAACTAACAGCCCCTCTCTGGTCCTGCTATTTTTGAAGAGATTCAGTTGAGCCAGAATAGGATTTGGCTTATTTTAGTTTGGGTTGTGTTTTTTGGCCTTGAAATGAGGGTTGGCTCCCTGTCTCGTCTCCCTACCCCACACAATCTGTGAGATAGCGGGACCCAGCCTATCCCCTCCCAAGGTCCTTCTCTCGCCTGTTACAGAGGAGTGTGGAGGGGGATCTGCTTACCCA